AGCTCCTCAATGTTGCCGAAGATGGTGGCGAGGCGGGCCTGGTCGAACATGTCCGTCCGGTCGCGGCACGGCTTCAGGTAGCCGTCAATGACGTCCTTCAGGTTCTTCACAAAGTCCCGCTCGGTGTTGACGATCTCGAGGACGACCTTGGCGCGCACCTGCTCGGCGCTCATTTTGGCGCTGCTGCTGGTGGAGGAGCTCATGCTCATCCGCTTCTTCACCGGCGTTGTCACCGAGTGGGCGGAAGAGGTTAAGGTGGCGTCGTTTTGATTGCTGCTGCTGCTGCCAGTGCTCTTGATGAGATCCGACTGGTTAGGAGTTGAGGAGGATGAGGCNGTCACCGAGTGGGCGGAAGAGGTTAAGGTGGCGTCGTTTTGATTGCTGCTGCTGCTGCCAGTGCTCTTGATGAGATCCGACTGGTTAGGAGTTGAGGAGGATGAGGCAGAAGGGGAGGCGGTAATTGTGGTGTTGGGAGCTGCTGTTGTCGAGTTGTTGTTGTTGTTGTTGGGCTCGCTTTCACTGACAGTTTCGCTTGTCTCTTCCTCCTCACCGCCATTGCCCGCTTCCAGCGCCTCCTCCAGCGTCTCGCCTTGGCTCACCTTGAGCTGCAAAGATGAGGAAAAGGAGTTAAAAAAATACCAACTTTTAACAGCAAAAATACGTACCCTAACATAAGAAGCGGGGAACCAGCCGTAGCGCGTCTCCAGCTCGCCCTGGCCCTTGATGGCGCCCCACCACCACTCTTTGTGGCTGGTGTCGGTGACGTTGATCAGATCACCACAGCCTAAAGAATAAGAAAAAAGTTAACTTTAAACTCTGCTCAAAACGATAAAAAAATGTGCGCTTACGAAAGTTCAGCTCCTCATTGTCGCTGGTGAGGTAGTCCCAGATGGCCTCGGCAAAGATGACCTCGTCGGTGGTCTGGAAATAAAAACGGAGGTGATTTTTAGTACATAGACATTTACAAAACTTTCAACACAGCACAGCCCAGTACTAACCTCCTGGCTGTCATTCAGCTCACTGCCCGACTGCTTGGCCGTGTCCGCCTGAGAGCTGTGGCAGC